TCTGATAACCATCCAGAAACTTCTGGTTGTATTTTGATCGCTCTGTTATAATTAAGTTCTGAATCTGCATTTTTCCACAAAGCCTATGGTTCTTATAATTAATTATGTTTCGAACTATTATGTATTCTGAATCTGTATTTTGCACTGAGCCTATGATTATGTTTTGTATTTTCTACTGTGCACAGCGGAAACTCCTCTTTTCTATCAGATATGATTGTTACTTTAGCTACACGCCGTACCAACAACATCCACACATGTTGCTTACCAAATTTCAAGGACATGGACAGAGCGCGGAAGAGGTAGGCCTGTCCACGTCATTGTTAACTGGCCAATTAAACTTGATAGCATACAAGTCTGAACCTGAAACTGGAAAAACTCAGTTCAGCTGGACATGAGATTACTCTCTCTGTCTGTCTGAATCCAGCGCTGCAAAAGTTTTCATGTGACCTGAAAAAACTGTTTAATCTGAGACCTGAACTTTTCTCCGACCATTTCTTGGAGCTGTTTCAACAAAAGAACTGGGTCTAACAGCTCCTCATGACAGAATTGGTGCAGTTAACCTACATTTATTGGGTCTCTGAAATAGACATGTTTCTTTGTCAGTCCACAGGTTCTTGACAGGTTTCAGTCAGGACTTTGGGGAGACCAGTCTGAAACCTTCATTGTAGCCTGATTTAGCCTTTTTTTTTTTTTTTAACCATTTTTGACGTGTGTTTGGGGTAGTGTGAGGTGGTTAGGTAACTACTGTAAATTATATTTGTCTATTAATACGCAGATGTCCTGCAAGCGAGGAGTTTAGCCTGTGTCTAGTTTATAGGAGTGATTTCAGATAACCTCCATGAAAGGTTTGGTGACTAAATAATATATTTTCTGATTTTAAAAAAAATTGGATGTATCAAGTCACTGTCAATCTTTATGTCAGTGTAGGAGTGCAGGACACTGCAATGAACAGTCTGGCCCTCAGAATTATTAGCAGCAGCTACCAAGCCACCCTGCAAGATACCTCCAAACTCAGAAGAAAGGCAGGGAGGTCTGAGAGAATCCTGAACAGCACAACAACCGGACACTAAACCGCTTTCTCTCACACACATCAACAGCTCACCAACCTTTACATCAGACAAAAATGAAAACACTTCTTGTGAAAGAGTTGCAACGTGAATAGAATAGAATAGAATAGAATAGAATAGAATAGAATAGAATAGAATAGAATTCCTTTATTGTCATTGCACACTGTACAATCAAACTGAGCAGCAATCCTGCCAGTGCATTCACACAATCAGTACAATAAGAACTGTGCAGACATACAATCTAAAATCTAGTAGAAAGAAATAGTGCAAGTATGTCAATAAAAAAAAACCCACATTGGATAGCTTATTTGTTTTAAAACATAGCTTATTTGGCAATTTGTTTAAAACAAACAAACAAACAAACAAAAAACAGCAGTGTAACTGATGTTACAGTTCTGGATAGTGCATATTGCTGAACATGTAGGAAAAAGTATGGATATGGGTAGAAGCTGTTTTTCAGTCTGTTTGTCCGTGATTTGATGGACCTGAAGTGTCTACCTGAGGATAATGGGTGAAACAGAGACTGGCCAGGATTCGACTGATCCTAAAGAATGTTTGTTGCTCTACTGATGCAGCGAGAGCTGAATAAATCACAAGTAACTGTGCTGTAAATAAAAGAACAGGTAAAGAACAAACAATGACCTGACATGGATAGTCTAAGGCTCAGGATGGTTTAAATCTATTGACTGACTTGGCCAGTCAAAGGCCTTTCAGGTTTAGTCACTGATCAGAGTTTCAGTTGATGAGTGTGTTTGGACTCATTGTCTTGTTGCAGGATGCTGTTTGAACTGGTGGGATGGAAGGAACTGTTTCCTGAGCGTGTGTGAACATTTCTGAATTCATTCTGCTGCTGCCATCATCAGGACAGGAGCAACAGCACACCCAGGCGTCACATGACCTCCATGTTTCACCACAGAGCTGGAATGCTTTGGATTGTGGCCACCTCCTGTCGGTCTCCACACTTTTCCTTTTGGTCTCATCTGTCCAAAAGACTTTGCTTCAGAATCTTTCAGACTTGCCTTTGTGCATCAACTTCTATTCTGGCTTTTGGATTCTTTCTCCTGATAAGAGTTTTGCATCTTTAAGTGCTGTCTCTGCCTTCTGATGTCCACCATTAGTTTGGGACAGTTTCAGACCTGTGCTCTCCAGACTGGTGCTTGTGTCCCCATTGTCTTCTGTTCTTCTTCATTGGTTGCTCATAGCTTTAAGTCTACTAGTGGTTCATTTTCTCTGCAGAACTTTCCCCACTGCTGTACCTGATAGATCCACTTCCTATGCAGTCATTCTCAACCAACTCTCAACTCTTTGTTATCTTTGTGCAGATGGACAGTTTTCTGTCTGGTCTCCATGCTGGTTCTGAGCCTGTCCTCGCTGTAGCAGGGCTCAGGTTAGTCCCACATGTCAGGCGCTCAGGCAGGACAGCTGATTGTGGTACAGTTTCATAGGTGGGTCTTTGTTTTTTTTCTCCCCCACATGCTTTACGTCTAATTGGCCAACAGATGTCGCTCGGATACAACTGTTGGACACCGCTGAAATGAATGCTCTCCTCCACGGTGTCAGTGTTTGCTGTGATCGGGAAACAGCTCGTGTTTTCTGCCTTTGCAACTCATCGCCGAGAAGTTTACAGCTTATATGTCGTTTTTAAGAATCTGTTCTTGAAATACGCCTTTTAATTCTCATTGTTTGTTTCATATTTTACTGTTTACTATTATTGTTATTATTATCATTATTATTATTGTTGTTGTTGTTGTTGTTGTTGTTGATGATGATGATGATCCTACAGCAAAATAAAGAAAACAAACAGCGGATTCTTTTGTTCTTGGACAAACAATTATACAACAGTATAACGATCATTTAGCAGCGAAGCCACCTGACGGAAGCCCTGGAGCTGTGGCCGCAGCGTCCCCAGGCCTCTTTCTTTCTTTCTTTCTTTCTTTCTTTCTTTCTTTCTTTCTTTCTTTCTTTCTTTCTTTCTTTCCAGACTGCAGCTGCGTGTTAAAAACAGAGGCCTCAAAGTTCCTGTCGCTGTTTGATTTTATTTGTTCATTGCGTTTAATCATTGTGGAACAAGCAACTGAGTATTATGGTTACGAAGAAAACGTGAAGAGGCATTGTCATCCATCAAACGTCTCGTAAATAGATGTTGTTGTTTGTTTGCTAGTTTCAGAACAATAATATTTAAAAGTAACATTTAGAGGGGGATAATGTCCACATTATCTTTAACACCCTGAACTTGTGCATTTATGTATTTACTGTATGTATTTTAAATTAAATAATTAATTTCACTTTTCATGAGAATCTGCTGACTGACTGAAGGCTGCTCACATGTGGAGCTTCTTAAACAGGATTCTGTCCTATAGACTAAACACCAACTGGATGATGCTGATAAAGAGTAGAGTGATTAACAATTTGTTGTGAATTGTGGTGTTTTTATTTCTACTGTATCACAAAACAAAAACGCTGCTTTGTTTTCTTTTTCTTTTTTTTTTTAATTGACGGATACATTGAGTTCCTCAAGGAACAGAGAAGACTTATCATTGTGGAACCTTTTCAGTGGCACAAACGCCCATTAAAGCTTCTTGGAATTTATGCAAGACAGTTCGTTAGAAAGTAATTATTCGGGAAAACGACGGTGGGTTTGTTGGAACAGAAAACACTTCTGTCGCTCTGTTCCTGGTCTAAGAGGTCCACTCAGACCGGCAGATTAATCCTCCCAAATAAATAAATCAATAACATTTCTTAAAGGCTTCAGTATGAATTACACCAATGAAGTCGTAGCTTCGTGCAGGCTCTCGGTGTTCCGCTCGAAACCACTTTTTCCATGAACACCTTTTAAACGCTCCTCCGCAGCGCGCGTCCATTGTGCTGCATTATTTTCTTCCATCGGCCCCCTTTGCCTGCACTTTGATGAACTGTTTGGCGAGGCAGCGGTGACAGAGGCTTTGAGCCGCTTTTCCTCGCAGCCAGGTGATGAACGTCCGGCTGATCAGGCGGAATGAAGAGTAATTAAAACCTATAAATTATCCGCCGGCAGCTCCTCTCGCTCTCTCGGAGAGATAAGAGGGCGCTTTTCCAGAGCTCGGTCTGGAAAACAATACCGGCTGACAATGGTGGCTATAGCTCAGACAGAAGGATGAAACAGTGAAAGTGGAGTGTGCGTCAAACCAAGAAGTGTGTGTGTGTTAAATTTGGCGCATATGAAGATGTAGAAGACGTACAATTTAGCAGTAGGAGTAGCCCACGTCAGAAAAAGTGCCATTTGTAACATAGGGCCGGTGAAAAGCTGCAGGCCTGCTCTTTGTCAACAGTGGTGCCAGTGTCGCAACAAAATGCCCTGTGGACGGAATAAAAGAGCATGAGATGTTTCTAGATGCGATGATTTTTAAATTGTTAGGAAAGTCATTGTGAGGACCAGTGGTCAATGGTTAAACGGCTGAGGCCCGTCCGGCCCTGAGTCCGCGCAGAGACACGACGAGTGTTGGAGGTCAGCAGCTGAGTCCCATCCACAATCATCACGTGTGTGTGTGTGTGTTTGTGTGTGTGTGTGTGTGTGTGTGTGTGTGTGTGTGTGTGTGTGTGTTTGTGTGTGTGTGTGTGTGTAGGAGAGGCAGAACGTTTCTTCTGCATCTCTTCTGTCTCTCAGCTTTGCAAGATGTACCAGATCCACCGGAACAAGTGTGGCGTAGAGCAGTGATTATCTCTTGTTTGGTTTCTTCGTGAAGCTGCTGGCTGCTCCTCAACTCTCCTCTTGGCTCAGAGACGTCTGACATTATTGGACATCGTCACCCTGTGTCCAAAAGTGTCCTGGTCGGCGATTGGCCCGCTGCGCTTTGCTTGTTATTCATGCGCCTTCGGGTAGTGTGCGTAAGTGTGTGTGCGCATGGTGATGTGATGTGAGGACTTTTTGAAGATCCTACTGTCATACAGCGGTGGAAATCTCTGGGTGTGTGAGAGCAGTGCGCAACAGCAACCCCAGCCAGTCTCAGAGTCAGTCACCGACCATGACGCGCTGGCGCTCCTTTACGCAGGCAGGATTTCCACAGTTTGCCAATAATTACAGAAAGCAGCATTATTTAAGAGAGAAAATAACCATGTTTTAGTGTTTTTTATGTAGTCATATTTTGGATACAAACACAGTGGAAACGAAGTGGAAGTGGATTGAGAAAGCAGTCGCCACGTTCTTCAGTGAAGCAGCGATGGAGGAGCAGCGGGATGTGAATAGCACGGATAGCAGCGAAGGAGAGAGCGTGTCCCCGTCTCCGAGCCTGCCCTCGCCGCCTATACTGCCTCTACAGGTCGCTCAGCAGGCCCACAGAACCACCAACTTTTTCATTGACAACATTTTGCGACCGGACTTCGGCTGTAAAAAGGAGCACGGTCTGGGCCCGCGGGACCGGGCGCAGACCTCCGACCGTGAGCGCGTGCACCCGGTGGTCAGCAGGCCGAGTCTTCCCGGGACACCGTGCCAGGACTCCAACTGTAGCAGTGACAGCACTTCGTCTTCCGCCTCTTCCAACGCCTCTTTGGCGAGTCCCAAAAAGAGCAACGGCAGCTGCGGAGGTTCTGCAGCGGCTGTCGTATCCACCGGGAGCGGCGGCACTGTTAAAGCCGAGGACAGGACTGGCGGCGGGGCCGGGGAGAACACTTCCTCCTCGCTGGTGGTGTTGAACGGCACCGGCGCACCGACACCGGAGACGCAGCCGCTGCTCTGGCCTGCCTGGGTCTACTGCACGCGCTACTCGGACAGGCCTTCATCTGGTAAGGCGATAGATTCGTGAAAAACTCGAACTGTGAGCGACGTGGACAGAGGAATGATTCAGAGGAATGATTCGCCAGAAATTCACTTTCTATCTGCTATCAGATTTAACCGTCAATTTCTAGACAATGAGCGCAAACGAAAATTTAACCTACAGCTTTTAAACAGCAAATCTCGTTTTGTAGAAACAAAAAAACTAAAAGAACATTTTAAGACCTTCAACATTGTTTTTCCAATTTTCTCTACAATATCGTCCATTTAAAAGCCACGTTTAAAATCGAGTTCGTCCTTATCCTATCAGACTCTATACGGTGCTCGAAAAAAAAATATTTCAAACCTTTTATATAGCCGAAACATTCTTTTTCTAAATCCTCTCAATATTTGATTTTGGAAATGTTTGTCGTGTTGCACAGTGTTACATGCGCTCGATATTAGACAGAATCCTCAGCTCGACACAGTAAATCTTTTAAAACGTACATTTTCACGTTAATTCTATTTAATTTGTGTGTGTGTGTGTGTGTGTGTGTGTGTGTGTGTGTGTTTGTTGCTGGATCAAACTAAATTCATCCCACTAACGCATCATTCAGAACTATTCCAGAGTTCTGTTGTGGAAACTGCAGAGTTCTGTTTCTGTAAAATTCATGCTTCAGTCTTCTTTCTTAACCTTGTGTCTGCAGCATAAAAAGTAAAAAGAAAGAATTGAAGAAATAAGTATTAGAAAAGGTAGAAAGTAAACAGCTGCTACACGTGCATCACCTCAGCTGAGGCCGCGTGGAGCCGAGCAGCTCCCCGGGCCGAGGCACAGCCCGGCGGCGGCAGGTGACGTCGAGACCAGACGCGGAGCTCCGGCCGCGCTGCGACACGTGTCTTTGACTGAGCAGATCTGTTTCATGGGTGTAAAGTGTTAGTGTCGCCGGTGGTTGTGAAGCACTCTGGGATCTGTGTCCTCCAAGAACCTGGCTCAGGTGCTGTCAGTGAAGCCTGGCGGAATAAAACACAATGGAATTAAAGGTACATAATGGCCCTGAGCCTCCCTGCGCCTTGGACAGGAGACATTTTGAATTCATTAAACGCCTGCTTAATTTGCCTACAGCTGAAATCACTTTTAGTTTCACCAGTGTACTCACGTTTATTTACGTATAAAATACACCGGAAACATTCACTCTGCTGGAAATCCTCGAGTTAATAATCTGCGTTACATACATACATATTTATTGAATTAATTTTTAGTTGATCTCTTGTATGTTGTTAGTTTATTTATGTTGAAAGACCTAAATCTATTGTGATTTATATTTGATCTTATTTCGAAGCATTGCTAGTTGACAAGAGAAGCAGTGAACCTTTGAAAGCGTCCAAATCAATAAGCGCAGAATCAGAAGCAGCACATCTGGGATCCTTCACAAGCATATGTCCTGTAGAAATGGTTTGATTTAGCCTACTATGTGACTCGCTTTCTGTTTGATTGATTTTAAAATGTAAGTATTTTTCCCGTTATTAGTATAATGTACAGTATAAGAATTCAGAGGTTTTTCATGAATAAATAGGTCTGAGGAAAAATGCAATAAATCTGTTCGAAATAAAATTATGTTCTGTTGGAGCGCTTATTCAAGCTTTAACGTGAATCTTATTCGGTGGAAATTGAGGTTCAACCTGAAGCAGAACTCGCGTTACAGGCATACAGTTGACAGGCTGGA